ATGTCTTTTGTATTAACATGGATGGAGTTGAAATGCATTCTTCTAAGTAAAGTATCAGAAGAATGGAAAACCAAATATCCAGTGTTCTCAGTATTAATATGAAGCCAGTAGATGATGTAATACATGCCCACATAAGAGAAAAACTCAATTCAATTCACGTTGTGGGCGACGGGAGGAATTGGTGGCTCCCACTTAATGGACACAATGGCACACCTTTTGGGTGTGGGACACAACTACAAGGGGGATTCTATCTAACATATGCAAATGTTGTAACTTAGTTGTTTATACCCTCACAGTAACCTGAAATTAAATTAAAAAAAAATTGTTGAGCTTTGTAAGGCACAGTGCTAGATATTCAGACTGTAGTTGCGATTAAGAGGTAGATTCCCTGCTCAGTCTAGTGAACCCTTCTGGTGGTTCACCAGAGAGCCAGTTAGATGGGACACCCCCAGAGAGCCAGTTAGATGGGACACCCCCAGAAAGCCAGTCCTCCAGCAGTCTTCTCCCCGGAATCTGGACAGCCTCATCCACAAATCACTGCAGCCATCACAATGTGGCAGAAGTGATTCTATGACAATCTTGGCACTGGACATATGTTTTAAATTCAGACGTATTTTACCTCAATAGGTGCATGGAGGCTGAAGAGAAAACACATTGAGCGTATTATTTGCAAATGTAGTGAATGGTGATGTTTAAAATTCAGTAAATCTGTAGTTTCCCTTTCATCCCAATGAGTTTGGTGCCGAAAACTTTATTTCTGTGAAACTGTGTGTCCCCATGTGTGTTTGTCCCCTTTCTCGGTTGGGGACCGTGTGTGCCTGAGGTGGGGGAGCGTGGCCAGCTCTGCCGTGTTAAGGATTCCATCTTAGCCAAAAGGTGTTTCATAAATTATGTATAACAGTAGATGCCACTCAATAAATATTTTATATGTGATAGATATTTTTGTGTGAAATTACTTTTTCACTTGAGCAATGATTTAAACCCTCGTTTCCAGTTTTATGAGGTGACACTTTTATAATATCGTGTAGTTGAATGCAGCTTGAATGTCATGGAGCTTTAGGGCAGCATTAATCATAAATTCATCTACCCCTCACTTCCAATCCTGGAAAACTTTCTCTAAATTCAGATTTTACCCATTATGTGTCTAAAAGTATGTGTATGTCGTGTCTGTGTGTATACACGTGTACGTCCTGAGGATGGGTGGGGAGTAAGGTTTTTGACCTAGTGGCTCTCCGGAGCTATGAATTTCCAGTGCTTTCAAAGTCTGTAAGAATTATTTCAAGAAAGAACAAATGTGTTTTTCAATGTTTAAAAAAGAAAAAAGTATATTAAACTAAGCTGGGATGTAGTCCAAAGCGATTTCTCTGATTTGAGTGGGAGCTATTAAAGTTTAAAATATTACTTTTGGGGAGGTGGTTATTGTACACTTTTGTGCAGAAAGAAAATGTATGTGCCTCTGGACTTAAGAGAATAGTCCCTCTCCTTTTCCTGTGGACCTAGGGGACTGGGACAGTTAATTGCCACGGGGCTGCATACCATGTGTGATGCTGTCACAGTTCAGAGCGACCGCTCCTTCCATGAGGACATTGTTTTATGAAATGGAGCTGTGCGGTTAAATTCTCCTCTGTAATGTATGTAGTTTTTGTTTTTTTAATTCATGTACTTACCATTTCAGCCTCCATGGGCAGGATGAGAAGCATGAATTCTGCTATGGTTGGGATGGGAGGAGTAGGGTTGATTTATGTACAGAGCTCATTTAGTGAAGATTTGCTCAGGCCCTGCTGTGGTAAATCCACGTCACTGAAGTCTCCAACCCAGAGGCTGAGGTTCCAGCAGGGGAATGGGAGCCTGGCTGATAAGGGGAGTAGCTGAAGAACAGTGGTACTCTCTGTTTCCTTTTCTTGAATCTAAGTTATGCACTGGTCATTTTCTCTGTAATCTGCTTAATAGTTGTTAGATTAAATTGCTTTCTTTCAAGTAGTAATTTTTATGTCTTTTTTTTTTAAGCCATTCTTTTTGGCTACTTCATTTTGTCACACTCTTGCATGTCTCTCGGTATTTGGGTATATATTTGAGACTTAAATGTGTGCAGAGAAGGCCCGGGTGACCTCTCTCTCCACTGCCCTGTCCCAGAACCTCCTAGGACCTCACTTGTCTTCAAGGTTTGAGATTTGCTTTGATAGTTTTACACTAGGCTGGAGAAGTTTGAATCCATCACCTAGAGAACTGGAGACTCTGTAGGTTGTTTTAATAATCTAAATGACAGAAAATACATTTATTCCTTCTAGGAATGTAAGCAGTAGCGACTGTGTTTGGAGACAGACGTGTCTTGGTCACTGCATCTGATTGTAGGAGTAGGGCGGGGAGCATCCGGTTGGCAGCTTGGAACGTGCCCTTCTCTGGTCCCATCACTCCTGCAGTCAACAGAACACAATGTCGTGTTCTTAGACATGACTCAGTCTGAACTCAGCACTGCCCAACCTCACATTGGAAGTTTTTGCCTTCTGTCTTCTGGCATTTGTCAGCTCCCATTTAGACTTCTTCCCTAGAAGCCTGACTTTAGAGGCGTTTTCTTTGGGGCCACATGGGCCTGATGTTAAGACATGGGCCTCTTCCCTCAGGGGCTGCCACCGACCCTCCTTCCTGGGCCCCTCAGAGCTCCAAGTACCTACCCTTATTCATTCCTTTGACAGATGTTAATGGAGGAGCTAGCACCTGGCAGACATGCAGTGAGGTGCTGGGTTACATTCTATTCAGGGTGTAGCTGATAGACTGTATGTGTGTGATGTATCGAGTGGTGATCATTGCCAAGGAGAGAAACAAACCAGCATGAGGAAAGCTGGTGATTCCCATTCTGTGTGGGCTGACAGGGACAGTGGCTTTGAGTGGAAACATGAAGGCAGAAGGGCCAAGCTATGCTCTGTATTCAGGGAGCTGCTTCTTAACTGGGGCCAATTTTGTCCCCTGAGGGTATTTGTCAGTGTCTGGATACATTTTCACTGGGGAGGGGCAGTGTGCTCCAGTCTGGTGGGGAGGAGGAAGGGTCTGGTCCAGAATGTCTGCACTGCGGAGAGCAGGATTCTCTGCTCCAGGGCATGAGCAGGAATAGCGGTGACAGAAGAAATGGCAGTGAGCACAGCCAGGAGGGGCAGGCTGGCAAGTTGGAGGGATGCCGAGGATCCTGGGAGCAGTGGGAGGAGGCGGGAGAAGAGAGTGGAGGTGGTGAGGGATGAGATCTTGGTGGAATGTGACAAAGACTTTGGCTTTGTCTTAGTGACACAGAAGCTGTTGAAAGGATCTGATCGAGAAGTAAACTGCCCTGACATCCCCCTGGCTACTGAGCTGAGTGTTCATCCCAGGGACATGAGTGGGTTATTGTAGGGGCTGGATGATTGCAGTAATCCTAGTGCAGGATGATGTGGTTTGGGCCGGGGAGCGATGGGGCAGGGCATTCGACATAACCAGATTCTGGGCATACTTTGTAGGTGGAGTTAACATTAAATATTTGAGTTCAGAGAAAAAAAGGAGTGATGTTCACCCATGGTTTTGGATCCAGACACCTGTAAGAAAGGTTGACATTTACTGGGATGGGAAAACTACAGGTTTAGGCAAAGGAATCAAGGGGATTTTTTTTTGTTTATTTGTTTTTGAGACAATCTCACTTTGTACCCCTCGGTAGAGTGCTGGGTCGTCATAGCTGACAGCAACCTCAAACTCTTGGGTTCAAGCAATTCTCTAGCCTCAGCTTCTCAAGTAGCTAAGACTACAGGAACCCACCACAATACATGGCTGTTTTTAGAGGTGAGGTCTTGCTCTGGCTGAGGCTGATCTCGATCCTGTGAGCTCAGGCAGTCCACCCACCTTGACCTCCCAGAGTGCTGCAACCTCCAATTCCTGGGCTCAAGCGAGTCTCCTGCCTCCGCCTCCCAAGGCTGAGGCTGGGACCACAGGCGCCCGCCACAACGCCCGGCTATTTTTTGGTTGCAGCCGTCATTGTTGTTTGGCGGGTCCGGGCTGGGGATTCGAACCCGCCACCTTACGTGTATGTGGCTGGCGCCTTAGCCGGTTGAGCCATAGGTGCCGAGCCGAGTTGTTTTCTTTTTAATGTATTAAGTTTGAGCTCCCTGTTTGATAATCCCCCCTGATATACCAAGATGAGTGGTCTATATGCTTGGGTATGGAATTTAAGGGAGAGGTCTAATTTACGTTTGAGAGTCATTAACATATAGATGGCAGGTAAGTCAAAACACAGAGGAGACCATCTAGGCAGTGAGTGTAGAGAGGAGTCCCAAGGACAGCAGCCTTCACAGCATGGGGCAAGAGAGAGTGAGAGGGAGAAGTGGAGAACTACTAGTATATGGAACTTTTGGAAGTGATTTTTCTCTAAAAGGATATAAAGAAATTGGTAGTAGCTGGAAGAGATGATGCAAGACCAAGGGAGGGGTGGTGGAGGTGGGAGGTGTATGTGGATTTGTCTGTAGGTGGGAATGACCCTGGGGATACGAGAGGCTGATGTGCAGGAGACAGCAGGTCAGGTACCTCTGGTGCCTGGGTGTCTGATGCCCAGAAAAGGCTTCCTCCCAGGACACGAACAGTTCAACCCTGGTAACCAGAGACAAAGGCCAACAGTTAAGGAGACATCTAGATAGTAAAGGAAATTAAGGCTCTGAAGAGGGAGAATGATTATGTTGTTATTTGGGTGGTCACAGAGGAAACCACTGACGCAGATGTGGAGAACCTTTCTTAAGGAAGATTGGCTTTGAAGAGCTCACATATCAGGCAGTAGGTTTAATTCATTCTACATTGAGCTTTTGTATATGTTTCAAGTTCACTTTGCCGACCACCCATCAGGATTTCAAGGTGAAGGCTAAGGTCCGTTTTTCTTGCAATGTTTCTAGAGGAGAAATAAAATACCACTTATTGTAACAATCTAAAGAACACATTATGAAGTTCTCTTTCCTCAAAGTAACTTTTTTCTTTTCTTTTCCTCTTAATTTTAGGAACAGACTCTTGCCCTCAGGAAAGAAGGGATTGGAGTTGTTTTGGACTCCGAGCTGCCACATTTGATTGGCATTGATGATGACCTTCTGAGCACTGGAATCATCTTATATCACTTGAAGGTAGAAGCTGCTTGAGGGAAACAATTTGGTTGCAGGTTTATTATAATACTCTATGGCCGTGAACACATATATTAATACAGGTGCATTAAAGAATACACCTCAAATCCTTGAGCCCTTTGGAGATTTCAGATGATACCCTGGTTTTTGTGGCATTTGAATTTCCATGTTTATGTAGTTCTAAAGCTAAATGATGAGTCATTCATTTGCCTTCCACTCTGTGGAATCAGTAAGAGGCAGATAAGGAACAAAAAGGCAGACTGAGCAAGAGAAGTTGCAAAGTCCTAGAACTGGGATTTCATCGTACATGTGCAGTTTCCTGGTCCCTAGTGGAATTATTAAATTGTGCTTCCCACCCTCGTTACTGGGCTTGGCTCCTAGCAGGGCATTCACAGCAAGAGTGCAGAACTCCACATATGCGTCACTGGTTTCCTCTGTGACCTTGGCTTGGTGGTGTCCCCTGTCTGATCCTTGACTTAAATGAGAATGCCACTGCACTTGTGTTTTATGGGCTCCCACAAACTGTATCTTTAGACACAGAAAAGCTCCCCAGAAGGGATCAGAGCCATCGGTGAGATTGCTGTCGTGAGCAAACTGGTAATGCATGCCAGAATGGAAGCCTGACCATTGGAAGAGTGAGCCTCAGGAACTGTGCTGTCATTTTCCAGACAACCAGGGATATCATTCCAGAGCCTCAGTGGGCTCTGGTTACACTGGGGCTGTAGCCTTCCCAGGACATTGTTCATTACATTGGCCACCATGTTGTTTGGGCTTAAATGAAAAGTGAAGAAACAAGTTTTTATAGTAAATTTTGTTTTACTTTTCCTCCCAGGAAGGTCAGACATATGTTGGTAGAGAAGATGCTTCAACAGAGCAAGATATTGGTAAGAATATTTAGCATTATCTCTTCCTAATGATATTTTTTTCAGAATATTAAGGGGATGTGTATGTTTTTGTTGTGTGGATGGCTTGTATGATGCTTGTATAGGGCTTTTAGTGTGCCCGTCACCAGAAGAGGTTTTGTTGTATGCAACCAGTGATTTCTTAAGGTCATATTTAATGAAGAGCCTTCTTTTGAATAGATGACATTGAACTATTATAAAGAAGAAAACTTAAAATATGGTATTGGACATCTCCCCCCTCCCAGGAGACAAGATCTCATTCTGTCCCCTAGGCTAGAGTAAAGTGGTATCCTCCTGCCTTACCCTGTTAGGTAGCTGGACTATAGGTGGGCACCACCACACTTGGCCAATTTTTTTTTGTAATTTTTGTATAGGGTACCAGTATATTGTGTAGGCTGGTGTTGAACTCTTGGCCTCAAGCGATCCTCTTGTCTAGGCCTCCCAAAGAGCTGGGACTATAGACTTGAGCCACTGTGCACAGCCATAAGGCCTTTTTAATGGGAAGGATACAGACACTTCTCTGCACAAAGATGACAACAGAAAGCAGGAGACAGTGCAGCACACACACATACGGACGTATGAATTTGGGGGTTTCCCGTAAGTCTTCACAAGGCACACAGATAACCAGTGACCTAGCCTGTACAGATAAAGTCTGCCAGACTTTAAGAGCATAACTTAGGCCGGTGGTTCTCAACCTTCCTAATGCTGCAGCCCTTTAATACAGTTCCTGTGGGTCATGACCCAGAGGTTGAGAACTGCTGACTCAGGCAATTTATGGTCATTGATTATAATGGAGGTGGTGGGTATTTAAGTGTATGGGGCAAGGTAGGGATTAGCAAGGGACAGACATGGCCTTGACTTGGAGAGTGAGCACTATGTTGTATTTTCTCAGCTGTTTTTAGAATTGCTGGCAATGAACCTGTTTTCTCACCAAGTGTAAGCTATTAATCGAGCCAATACTAGCCTATTCCTACAGGTATTTACTGTGAGGCTGGGAGAGATGAAAACCAATCCCCAGAGATCCCAGGTTCATCTGTTCTTGGGTAGAATGAAGCTAGGCACCAGGCCTCTTCTTCTAATCACTAAATTATGTATTTGACCTTTAGGGTACTTTTAAATGATGAAAAGTAGTAAGAACACCTGTTTTCTGTAATCTGTGAAGATTGGTAATATGAATTCGTGGAGAGAAGGGGTGCTATTTGGTTGGCACTTCCAAGATTTCAGGTCAGAACCTGTACCTAAAATTGTGTAGGTTTATTTGACAGGTGTTCATATCCGTACCTGGGCATTCTTCAGACAGGAATAATCCAGGCAGCCACACATGAGTAGGTAAGCCTCAACAGCCATATGCTCGGCCGGGTCTCAGAAGTGGCTCAGGCTCCAGCGAGGGCACCCCTGACAGCTTCTGGAGACCTATGTCTGCTCCGGGAGCACAGCATCCCCCAGATGTGGAGGTCACAGTACAGCCTTCACCCAGGGAGCCCTTTTGCCTCTGTATCTTTCCATGGCCTCTAATGGAGCTGGAGGAAATGTATTCAGTAGCACACAGAGCAACTTGAGTTACCCGCTTTTGCTCCAAGGCTGAAGTAAGTTTAAGTTAACATCTCTGAACTTATTTCCTTACATAGGTGATATTCAGACCCTGATGCCATGAGCTCCTAAAATTCACTTTTCTCACTAAACATCTAGGTTCATGTCCCAATATGTACATAGAATGGGATAGGTACTCAGCATGTGAATGAATAAATATCTGGGAATTATTGCAGGAAGTACCAAAGGGAAAATAAAATTTTTTCTCTTTGTTTTTCCCAATTCTTTCCCAGTTCTTCATGGCCTTGACTTGGAGAGTGAGCACTGTGTCTTTGAAAATGTCGGGGGGACAGTGACGCTGGTACCCCTGAATGGGTCTCAATGCTCTGTGAATGGTGTTCAGATCATGGAGGCCACACATTTAAATCAAGGTATCTGGTTTTTGATTTTCAGAGTTCTTTGCATATATCATTGTGAAAAAAGAGGGTGGCTAGGCGGTGGGAGCACACACACATCTCGTAATTAGTTACTGATTGGAGATAAAGGGTGAAGACTGTGGCTTCAGTACGCTGCTTTCTCTGTTGGCTGGAGGGCTTCGTGTAATTCCCACTATCTTGTTGAATTACACATGACCAAATATGTAATTGTCTTAACAGTTGTTATGGAAATTATGATACTAATGGAATATAAGTTAAAAAATACCCCTCAAATGCAAAACCTTAACATAGTGGTTGCTTTTCATAATTTCATTTTCATTCTGTTTATGAATAGTTAAACATACATAGAGGATTTGGTATTGTGTCTATTTAAAAAAAATCAGAGTTATTTGAAATTAAATGGGTGGAAGGAGATGAGCACCCTTGGATTCTTCACTGTGTATTTCCTTTACCCAGTGACATCACGCTGGGACACTCACACTGACATGTTTCTGCCATCTGATCCCTGGACCCCCGTCAGGCTTCTCCATTTGCCCCACAGTGTTCCTCACGGTCCTGTAGTCAGCCTGGCTCCCTGTGTGGCGTTTGGTTGTCACATCTCTCTGATCTCTTTCAGTCTTAAGGGACTAATAGTTCCTTGGTCTTTCCTGGATTTATATGACTCGGGCAGTTTTTCAGAGTAGCGCTCTGCGTGAATGCAGGATTTATCTCTGTCTCCCATGATTACATGGATAGTGTGCCTTTGGCAGGAGTGTCAGAGGCATGATGTCATTATTCCATTGCTGGGGATGTTCACCTGGATCCTTCGGTTAAGGTGGAGCTTGCCAGCCTCTTCCCTGTGAAGTTCTTCTTTTCTCGTTTGTTGTTAAGTATATGAGAAGGTACTTTGAGCTCATAAATATTCCATTCTTGATCTTGCTTTTACCCACTGATTGTAGAATCCATTTTTTCTTGACTGAATTATTATCCTCACAGTTGCCAAGTGGTGCTTTTTAAATTTCCTCACTTTCTACATTTATTAATTGGCTTTTTATGTAAGAAAGAACTTTCTCTTCTTGTTATTTATCTAATTGAATCAGTAGGGTCGCACAGCTGCTTTTCACTTACTCGTTTAGGTTTGTTTTTATCATTATTTATTTCGATACTCAAGTTGTTCCAGCTATGGCCAATGAATGTTCCCTCAAGCTGGATTTTGGGTTCCTTGGCTTGTCCTCATTGTTCTGTGAGCCCTTCCTTACTTGCTGACAAAAGATGTTCTGGATTTATTTCATACTTGCCTAACATTAACCAGTTCTCCAAGGAGCTCGGGTCCTTTTAGTGGGGAATGACCTGTGTGTTCATTGCTATTGGGGTGTCACTGCTTCCATGTCCCGTGTGTGAACAGAGCGGAGACGATGTGTGTTCATACATACAGCTTTACATATCTGTGTCTGTATTTTCATGTTGCTATATTGAAATATCTATATTTCATTATCTATTTTACTAACTGGGTGTTCACCCCAGTATACTGGTACCTCTAATCCCAATCTAACACCACAGTGTTCACCTAGTTCTCCCCCTCTCCTTCTGAAGTGGTGAACCTGACTTCCACCGTGTAACAGTCTTGTGTGATTCCTGCTATCTCCTTGTGCCGGGACCCACCCCTTCCTGCTCAGGTGGAGAGTGTGGCCATGCTGGTCTGCTCTGCCTGCTCCTCTCCTCAGCCACCTGCCTCCCACTCTCAGGCCTGCTTTGCTTTATCTGCTTAATGGCTTTTGGGCTGAATTATGTAAGAAGGAAGGAGAAAAATACATGAGTGTATCTTAAACCCTTTGTGTGTATTATACAAAGTCTTTGTACTTTCTAATGGTTGCATACTTTATCATTGTTTTTATTGTGCCATAGCAGTTGGACAGCATCCTTGATGTTGGCCAGGTCTGTAAGCAGAAGTCAGTTGTAAGGAGTTAACCAGAAATAAAGGTGTGTGTCCTACATGTTGTGCTTTTTAGGGTGCATAGAGTCCATGAAAGTCATTCCAAAAGCAGCCGACCAAACATCCCCCATCTCTCAATCTGCCCAGCAGTCTTTTATTCTTAATTTTCAGTGTCAAGGTAAGTTGCATTGCGGAAAGGTTTGAGTACCCTGCAGCTGGACAGAAAGATCAGAGGTTAGCAGTAGCAGATGACCAGCCTAAGCAAAGCACCAGTGTTGTCACTGAAGCTACATTTTCTGTATTTTTGCAACCAGGATGAACACTCTGGCAGTATAGCACAGAGAAGCAGCTTATTTCCAGACAGCAGTGTTAGTCATGGTGGGAGGCTATCTCTGCCCTCCCTGAGCCAGGGGAATTGTCATTAATTGGCTGGCAGACAAGCAGTCACCACATAGGGCTCTTTAGTGGCAGTCCCTGCTTGGGAACTCGGAGGCTTTAGAAATGACAGCTGATATAACTGAAGGGTTAACACACAGCCTTTCCCCTGAGTCATGTTTGTGAGTCCAGACTGCAGCTAGATCCCCTGCCTGTTCTCTACTGAGACAGCAGGTGAAGGTTCTCCTGCTGTCCCTCTAGGCAGCAGGGGCTGGGACCTGGGTCCCCATGACAGACACTGATCTAAGGAAAAGGAACACGCATAGTAGAGATCTCTGCATTGGCTTCCCCTCCCTCAGGTCAGAGGGGATAACTTATCTAATGACTGCTGCTTATTCTAGCTCGGTTTTACAATGGGTTTGGGCTGGTTTTCAAAGTCATTATTAACATCAGAGCAGTTTCACTATTGCCTCCCACAATTGTGGGAAATTAAATATGTATTTTCCCCTTGATTAATTTGAGTGTATACTGTATTTACCCATACACATATAATCATTATAGCCCTTTTCTCATATTTGATTTACCTATGTTATTAAAATGATAGTGTTTTCTATTTAAACGTAATTTTGCAACTTTTAAAATCTACTTTTTGAGAATAATGTTACAGAGCGGAGAGAGTGAGGAGGCTGCGTCTCTCCCGCTCTCACAGCCATTGCAGTACATTGAGCTCCATAGAGACAGCGCCGGGGCAAGTGAGAGCTGGACGGGCACTGGGCGACTCTGTGCCTCGCAAGGAAAAATAACTAAACATGGGCAAAGGAGATCCTAAGAAGCCGAGGGGCACAATGTCATCATGTGCATTCTTTGTGCAAACTTGTCGGGAGGAGCACAAGAAGAAGCACCCAGATGCTTCAGTCAACTTCTCAGAGCTTTCTAAGAAATGCTGAGAGAGGTGGAAGACCATGTCTGCTAAAGAGAAAGGAAAATTTGAAGATATGGCAAAGGCGGACAAGGCCTGTTATGAAAGAGAAATGAAAACCTATATCCCTCCTAAAGGGGAAACTAAAAAGAAGTTCAAGGATCCCAGTGCACCTAGAGGCCTCCTTCTGCCTTTTTCTTGTTCTATTCTGAGTATCGCCCAAAAATCAAAGGAGAACATCCCGGCCTGTCCATTGGTGATGTTGCAAAGAAGCTGGGAGAGATGTGGAGTAACACTGCTGCGGGTGACAGGCAGCCTGAGGAAAAGAAGGCTGCAAAGCTGAAGGAAAAATAGGATATTGCTGCATACCGAGCTAAAGGAAAGCCTGATGCAGCGAAAAAGGGAGGGGTCAAGGCTGAAAAAAGCAAGAAAAATAAGGAAGAGGAGGAAGATGAAGAGGAGGAAGAGGAAGGTGATGATGATGTTGGTTTTTGTTTTTTGGTTTTTTTTTTTTTTGAGACATAGTCTCACTGTATTGCTCTGGATTAAGCGCTGTGGTGGCATAACTTACAACCTCAAACTCCTTGGCTCAAGTGATCGTCCTGCCTCATCCTTCCAAGTATGCTGAGACTACAAGTGTGTGTCACCATACCTGGCTAATTTTTCTATTTTTAGTAGAGGCAGGGTCTCACTCTGGCTCAGGCTGGTCTCAAACTCATGAGTTCAAGCAATCCACCCACCTCGGTCTCCTGGAATGCTAGGGTTACAGGCAGGAGCCACCACACCTAGCCTAGGTTTTTGTTTTGAATATTTGATTATTTATAGTACTTTCTAGGGCAGGTGTCCTCAAACTACAGCCCGCGGGCCACATGTGGCCCTCCTAGGACATTTATCTGGCCCACTAGGTGTTTTTGCCGCTGCTGCCTGTCCTGCTTAGCAGCCAGCTTCTCCTGGGGCCCGCTGTCTAGCCCTCTGATGGTCTGAGGGACAGTGAACTGGGCCCCTGTTTAAAAAGTTTGAGGACCTTTGCCCTGGGGTTCATTGGTTTAACATTATAGCTCTAATTTAATTGCTCTTCCTCACATGTTGTACCATTTATTTTAACCTTACTTCACTTCATACCCACCCATTTTTGAAGAAACTTACTTTACCAACAATGAAAATACATATAGCATTGTATTTATTTCTTGGCACTCCAATTTCTTCCAGTACTCTGAGTTTCTACTTTTGTACCAGTGTCACACAGTTTTAATGTTTGTTGTTCTATAATATGCTTTAATCTCTATTTTCATCTGAGGGTTTTTTTTGCTACCCATGTCTTTTAATTTTTTTTAAATAATTCAGAATCATTTTTGTGCTAAAATATCTGTTGAGGAATTAGATTCTAATTTCATTGGACTTGCATCTTAAAAATATATTTTCATCTTGAGACTTCTGTTTATATACTATGCATCTTTTATTCAAATTTCCATCTATTTGTTTTAATAATACCTTAAAGTTTTTTTATATTTGTTGAACTGTTTTTATTCATGTGCATAAAATTCCATCAGTGTATGATACAGTTGGGATTGATTTGGGGGACTCTTTAGTGTAAGTAGTTCTTGACTGAGAAATAACCTATAAATATCAGCATTGACTGTTGAGTCCACCTAGCTTTTTGCTCCTGCCTTTGAACTATCACCCCATAGTTCACTGTCCCCAACTCCTTTTTCCTGGAGCTGCTGGAGTTTCTGTCGTGTACAGCCCTCGCCACTTGGTGCTGAGTGGATTATGAATTACAGTGAATAC